GCCAGCCTGTGAACAGCTCCTGAGACCACCTTGATTTACAAGCATACTCTGTGGGGTGCTAGATTTTGGAGGATAGAGTCTTTACGAAATACGTGAGATAATTAAAGGTCAAAAATTTTACTATAAGTTTAAACAAACATATTTTGAATTTTTTAACGATCTTGCACTTGTTTCACAGTTGAGTTTGTAAACAAATACTAACTTTAGAGAACATTATGCTTCTATCCCCAGTGCAAATGATGGCAAAACTTTGTATTTTCTCTGTAAGAGCGTTTAGAATCGTGAAAATAATGTAGAATTGAAACCTAGGAATTTTATCATTCAGAAAATGACTGTGTGATCCTGTAAGTGTCTGCTCCTTTCTTATCATGTAGAAGAATGGAGAAATTACAAGTGTTCTAGTAATTTTAAAATTTTATGCAGAAATAGCACTCTATCACATTCCGTACAAATGTGTTATGTATGAACTGAACAGACGTTATTCTTCCATATGGAAAATTCTCACTTTTCAAGTAAAAGTTCAAAACAAAAATATTTTGGTCAAAAGTATTGAGCTGTAACATGAAAACTATGATGTAGACTGGGAGCTTCATAGAAGTTTGGGTCCCTTAGATTCCAAACTGACCATTTGAGCCAGGCTATATTGCTGAGCTCCAACTTCTGTCAAAGTTCATAATCCAGCTTTCCCTCTTTCTGTTCACTGCAGTACTCGGTGAGAATTGCATCATAGTCTGTTTGCAGATCCTGGGCTACAGAGGATGAAGATAGGAAGCACTCACACTACCACTCTCACCAAGCACTGTAATATCACTTGTAAATTGACATTTTCAGATTCTTTTATTTTTGAATATATGATATTTTGGGTTGGGGAGGCAGGAAGGAAAGGCTTAATGAAGAAAGTTTTGAAAAAAACCTTTTTTGTCAAAACAATCACTTGAAATTATTAAGTGGTTATCTGTGAAAAGGTAATTATCAGGTTAATTTCAGTGAGTTCTGTTTAGTTTTTTTTAACAATTTGAGCATTTGGATTTTGGTCACCAACTGTGCAGAACGGGTACGGTAAAATTCCATATCTGGCCAATGTGAAGAGGATGGTGTCACCTATAGGGAAGTCCATGGGGAGGCAGGACTGCACAGCTGTGATCATGTCTGTGACATAGAAGTCCCCCCTGCACCTCATGGGTGTCATGGAGGGTGGTTATACTGCAAGAGAAGGCGGTAGCCTGTGGGGGAGGCCATGCACTAACTACCATGACTTCTCTCGCTGGATCTGGGGCAGGAGGTTGGGGAGCTGGAGAGGAACGACAGGAGAGCTGGGGACCTTGAACTGTGAGGCCTGAAACAAGAGAGCAGGAGCTAGAGGCTAACGGGGGAGTGAAAGCCCCTTAGCCCACCTGGTGGTATATGCTTGTCTGGTCATAGATGTAGACAGGCATGATGGATAAGGAGGGAGAGAATGAAATTGCTAATTTTTTTAGAGAAATTAGGCGAATTAGATTGGGTTATCTAATTCATAGTGGAATGATGGATGAGGAGGAGTTTTATTTCTGTCTTGCATGTGGATACAAGATGAGATTTTGGTAGGTTTTGCTGTGAATGGGCTGAAGAATACTGCGAGACTGTTTACATGAGAGCCAAACAGTAGCAGTGTCCCTGTGTTCCTAAATGCAGTAACTTGGCATTGCAGAAGGAGAGATGTTGCAGGGCAGTACTGAATGCTAGGATTATACTTTGCAATGGAACAAGGTAGAAGTGAGGAAAAAAAGAGACAATTCAGAGCCAGAGGCAGGGGACAGGACTGCAACAAGCTGGGGCAGGTGAGGGTAAGAATATAGTTTAAGCGAAGAACTGTAGCATTTTGAGATTATAATAGCTAGATCCTAGAAGTTCAACAGCTGATCAGCATACATGGTGCTTAGAGACTGTTATTTCTCACTAAACAAAGGCTTTGCTGACCTTTCTGCATATTTCATCAAAATGTATAATATTTCCAAAGCCAAAAGATAATGTTAATGGGTCAGACTCCCCAGAATTGATTCAAAATTGTTACTTTTTAAAGGGAAAATTATGTTTTTTTTTTTTAACTCTTCCTATCTCTGTCTTATATGATGTGTGTCTATATGTGTGTGGGAGATGGAAAATAGCAAAAAAAATTTTTGTTAATTATCATGTTCCAATTATAGCTGCAGCTGTTACTTTTTTAAAGTTATTTTTGAAAAAAAGCCACACATATAACTTAAAATCTTAACCGTAAGCCACCTTTCCCTCTGCCCTGCACCATATAACCATAGGTTTCAATTGATGTTTAAGGTTAAACATCAGAATTAATAAATTCCACTGGGATCTGTCAGCATTTCCAAACTTTGATAGAGCATAAAATGCTAAAATTAACTACTCAAACCTTCCTGTGCATGTAAAGGCACAAGTTCCTATTGAGGTTAACTGAATAAATGAAATTTAGACTGTGTTTATCAAGCTGTTAGAGAATAATGCCAATCTACAAACTCTTTTCCAAGCCCTAGTGAATACATCTGTGTGTCTGTATATGCAAAGTATTTCTTGACTTTTCATGTTATTTGCCAACATGCCTTGTTTAACCATGGTAAGGAGAAATAACACCTGTGATATGTGAAATTCAGACAGAAAGTAGATTCTGTTTCGGGGGATTTTTTGGAGGAAGTGGATAGTGAGATCTTCAGAATCTCATTCAATTTCAGATAACGGCAAGCTCAGCTGTTAAAATTGTCAGATGTTTAGCTAATCCTTTTGAACATGAAGTTTGATTTGTTTCAAAAGCTAAGCAAACTTTCAAAAAATGTTCAAAAACAAATTTTCATGTACCCACATTGTGAATGATTGTGGTCTGTTGCGCAGAAACCTTGCATGGAAACCAGAAATTTTGTGTGTTTGCTATATAACCTTGGAGGAATACCTGGCTTGAAAGTGTTTCCCTACCTATGAAACTCACAGACGCTGCAAGTTAAACTTAATGTGCAGTCCTGTAGATTATAGGTGTCTTTTCCTTTTATATACTTTGATATCTCGTTAATATATTTATTAATGACTATTTATTAATTAAATATATTTATTAACACTGACAGCATGTAAGTAATGGGTCTCCAAAATGAAACGTGAGTCTGAACACTGCTGAACTTTGAAAAAGATCTGCTTTACATCTGAGCAAAATTTTGTGGCTCATATTCATCTTTAATACACATGAATATACACTTCCCCTTTTTTTCCTACAAGATCTGCATTCTATCACCACCTCAATCATCCTGTCGAGGACCAACTAGGTCTCCTCTTGGAGACCACCCATGCTTCTTTTAGGTCCTGATCCTACAAATACTTGAGCATATGTGGAACTTTGCTTTCAAGAGTCGTCCTTTGAAGTCTACTGGACTACTCCCATGAGCACAATTGCACGCATTTTAAGTATGTACCAGATTCGGGCTTCAAATTGTCTAGCAAGTGGCCACTGTGAAGCAGTGTGAGGAATAGAGTCCACCTGGAGTGTGTATGCAGCCTTGTAGAAGGCAGAGTGAGTAATGCTTTTGTCCAAACCAAATAGAAAGCTGACCAGATTAATTATTTAATAAGTTATAGAATTCAGTAATTTTAATAGTGAATAAAGTGTCAAATCACTCCACTGAACAACACAAATCTTAATTATGTTCTAATATAACCTTATAGCTTCATATTGCTTGAGAGTTATTAATGTAAAACTTTGTATTTTAAATAGAATTTTATAGATACATTACTTCTGTATAGAGTAGAGAAGTGACAAGGATGGAAGATTATTGTGGACAATTATGCAGACCAGCACAGAGCACTTGTGTTTAACAAACAGCTTTGAATTCTAATTTTCTGCAATATACATAGTGTAGGTACAATTTGTAGTCATTACTGTGTATTAGGAAAGTTATTAAAATTCTTAAACTTGTTGAGGCTTTCCACAACACCTTCCCCAGATTTTAATGGGTTTTATCTAGTTCTATAAGTGAGCTCTTTAAAACAAATCACAGTGCTTTAAATCACATGTCTTACCTATCGAAGGACAGATATATTCCTCTATATTCTGGCAAGTTTTCCTAAGAACTGAAATCTCAGTTCTGAAGGTTCTCAAAGATGAATTAAAAGACTTGGCAGAAGATAATTTATGTGCTTTTGATGGGCTCAGTTTCAAAATGACAAAATAACAATGTTCTGTAACAGAAGGGTTAAATCTTAATCTCAGAGGTTTACAAAGCTGCTAGTCGCAGTCTCCTTAAAATTTAATATACCTCGTTAATGCTTACTTGCAAACACTGAAGGATTTTTATGATTATAATCATGTGTTACAGCACCTAGTACTGTTTCTAAGCAGCATACTAATCAGCTTAATGAGATATTACTGCACTTTTTGTTGACTAAAGCAAAATCCCTTTTATTGTTCTAAAGCTTGTCCTTTACTTTATTTTTTCCCAAAACATTATCTTGTTTTATTGTACACCAGTAAATATCATACCATCATTTTTTTGTCAAATCATAAAACTATCTTTCTCATTGTAGAATGTGTAATATATTGAATATGGTTAATGGAACTGAAAGTTATAAATGGATTTCTATTTTTGTTTTTTTGCTGGCTTTTCTAATGGAAATGGGAGAGATGCATAACATTTCTTTTTCTATAAATTTAGAAATGTAAACAGGTACAATTTCGCAAGACAGACAAGGGAGATGGTAAAAACTTGTGCCCCTTCTGTAATAATTAGATTTTGAAATTGTGATGTATTTTTAAATAGTAATTAATGGTTATTGGTAAACCTACAGAACGATGAAAGCACATGTATGATCACAATTGTATAGCACAGTTGGCATTTAATACACTTTTTATTGTTTTACACTAATTCCTTTGCATTATTATGAGTAGGTAAAACATAAAATGCAAATTGTATGTCAGTGATTCAATGCTTGTAACTCTTTCACAGTCTGAATCTAAAATATCTTCTCATTTTCAGAGATGGAGGAAGCTAGTTTGTGCCTTGGTGTTTCTTCAGCTGTGCCAGAAGCTGACGCCCATCTCAATAGCACCATACTCAATGGACAGTATTCAATGAGCCAGAAGCTGCATCAGATCACTTCCCAGCTCAGCCATGCCTTTCCGGAGCTCCAGAACAGGCAGAATCCAGAGGAGAAGGCATCAGTGCCGCTAGAAGACAAAAGCCACATGTCCATAGCGAACCAGCCCATCAGCAGTCAGATGGCATTGTTAGCAAACCAGCTCAACAGAGAGGTTGACACCAGTTTGAATGGACGCGTGGATCTGCAGCAGTTCTTAAATGGACAAAACCTTGGGATTATGTCTCAGATGAGTGATATAGAGGATGATGCCAGGAAGAACAGAAAGTACCCGTGTCCCCTCTGTGGGAAACGCTTTCGATTTAACAGCATCCTGTCACTACACATGCGCACTCATACCGGAGAGAAACCATTTAAGTGTCCATACTGTGACCACAGAGCAGCTCAGAAAGGCAACCTAAAGATTCACCTGCGCACTCATAAGCTTGGAAACCTTGGCAAAGGCCGTGGAAGAGTCCGAGAAGAAAACAGACTTTTACATGAGCTGGAGGAGAGAGCAATTCTTCGGGACAAACAGATGAAAAGCAGCCTCTTGCAGCCACGGCCTGATGTGAAGGCACAGCAGCATACCCAGCCCATGCCTCTTGCAAACTGTAACTTGTCTGTGCCAGCTAATCACAGCACACCTGATATTTCAAATCCTGTTCCCTCTCCAAAACCAGTCAGTGTCCAGGAAGAAGTAGTTGCTCAGACGGCTGGGTTCAGGTGCACATTTTGCAAAGGCAAATTTAAAAAGCGTGAAGAGCTGGACAGGCACATAAGGATCCTGCACAAGCCTTACAAGTGCACCCTGTGCGACTTTGCTGCCTCGCAGGAGGAGGAGCTGATCAGCCACGTGGAGAAGGCTCACATAACTGCAGAGTCAGCACAGGGCCAGGGCTCCAATGGGAACGGGGAGCAATCCACCAATGAGTTTCGTTGCGAGGTGTGTGGCCAGGTATTCAGCCAAGCCTGGTTCCTAAAAGGCCACATGAGAAAGCACAAGGATTCCTTTGAACACTGCTGTCAGATCTGTGGGAGGCGATTCAAAGAGCCTTGGTTTCTTAAAAATCACATGAAAGTTCACCTGAATAAGTTATCTGTGAAGAACAAATCTCCTAATGATCCCGAAGTACCTGTCTCCATTGGCAGTATGTCCCAGGAGGCTCATGCAAACTTATATTCAAGATATCTATCATGTTTGCAGAGTGGGTTTCTTCCTCCAGACAAAGCAAGTTTAAGTGAACAAAATCAAATCTATAACAAAGGAGATATGCCCATGAAAGAAAAAGAAGTCTTGGGGAAACTCCTTTCACCCATTTCTAGCATAGGCCACAGTATTGCTGAAGGGGATAAACATTCTTTATTGGGCTGTCTCAATCTGGTGCCTCCTCTGAAATCCAGCTGTATAGAAAGGTTACAAGCTGCTGCCAAAGCAGCAGAGATGGATCCAGTAAACAGCTATCAGGCCTGGCAGCTTATGGCAAGGGGAATGGCCATGGAACATGGCTTTTTGTCTAAAGAGCAGCAGATACAGCGCAGCCATGAAGACACTTTGGCAAATGCGGGAGTTATGTTTGATAAGGAGAAGCGGGAGTATGTGTTAGTAGGAGCAGATGGCTCTAAGCAGAAAATGCCTGCTGATTTGGTTCGCAGCACTAAAATGGGCAATCAGAGAGACTTGCCAAACAAACTAGACCCTTTAGAAGGCAGTAGAGATTTTTTGTCACATGGTATGAACCAGGGACTCGATTACAACTTACAAAGTCATGGAAACGTAAAAGAAAAGCCAACTGAATGCCCTGACTGCGGAAGGGTTTTTAGAACATACCACCAAGTGGTCGTTCACTCCAGGGTCCACAAAAGAGACAGGAAAGGAGAAGACGAAATAATTCAAGGTAGTCTTGATGAGCGACGTGGGTCTGGAAGCGATCAAGAGTCTCAGTCTGTCAGCAGGTCGACAACACCAGGGTCCTCTAACATTACTGAAGAAAGCGGAGTAGGTGGGGGTCTTTCGCAGACGGGGAGTGCCCAGGAGGACAGTCCACATCCTTCCTCACCCTCCTCTTCAGGTATGCTAACTTCTCCTTCCCTCGGTACACTGAAAAATTAGTAGCTATATTTGAAATCACAGCAGCAGAGTAGTTTATGTATTGTCTTGTTAGGTCGTTTTCTAACAGTCCACAGAGACATGGTGTTATATGCCAGAACATCTGTGTTTGGGTTCCCTCAATGCCTTCGAGGTTAATTCTCATTTCACCCTTTTTTTTCCCCTCCAAAGGCAGTTTTTCTAGCCTTTTAGCTGTCACTTCAGCCCAGCCACAGGCAGCAGTGTACAGGGTCTGTGCATTCACCAATGGGAATGTCATTTTAAAGGCCTTTCCCTCTAGTTTTTGAAGGATTTTTTATTCCTTCCTCTTCTATTCATGGTGTCTCTCTTGCAGATCTTTCCACTTCCTCCATGCAGAAGGGTGGTGCAAGATTGCTTCTATGAGCTGTATTTGAAAGGAGTAGATTAATAAACAGTGTGTTGGCTAACCTTTCTCATTGCCCTTATTCCCACAACCAAATCAATTACTTAGCTGAGATATGTACTTGTACCTGGCCACTGGTCTGATTAGAATTTCGAAAATTACTAACTTTCTGACAATCTTTTAACTTATGTGCACGTTTTAACATGTATGAAGCCTTCTGTTTAATCTGCATCTATTTGAAAGTATAAGAAAAATAGAAATTGGACTGAAACGTTTTAATTGCATTGTATGTCATGTTAACTTGCTGTGTATAAAATAGCAAAGCAGATAGTATTTCATTGGAGATGTCTATAAAATATTGAGCTTCCTGGTACAATTTTTAAAGTTACTAGCCTATGACTGCTGAAATAAAATCTCCAAGTAATAACAGGTAAGATTTCTGGCTTCATCTATATTTCCAAAGTCACTTACTAATGGATAGTAAATTGAAAGTTATATCTTCAGCCCTTTATAAAGAAAGCACCTCACTAATACTGTAATCATTCTGCAAGCCTAACAACAGAGGAAATCATGCCATAACAAATACTCTGTTACTAATGGCAACATTGATTTCTGCAATCAGCCATTAAGTCTAGAAAATGAAAGACAGTTTGAGGTACCTTAAGGCATTACGTTGCCCACTGTTAAAGAGCTGGTAGCAGGCTGTTGAGGGTAATTCTTTTTAGGTTTTTTTTGCCCAGTTTCGATAAATATTTCAGTATTGGAGGCAATTCACTGTTACAGTTATTAAGTATGTGCCAGTTTATTTTTGTTGTTCTTGTCATGCTCCAATATACTCTACTTCTGAGGCCAAATTAATATAAAAATAAAGTGTTAGTTTGCTGGCTTATTACAAACCAGTAAAGAAATTGTTAAGACACATAAATCTGCACTCCACATTCCACAGATTCCTATAGTACTTAAAGCTGTTGTTTAAATACCCATGAAACACACTGTCTACTCTTAGAGTCATAGCCTCGTTTACAATTTATTACTGGTGAGACACATTAGAAAACAAGGAACAAGGGTAACAGGCGAGAGCTAATTTCATACTATATATAGTTGTTCAGATTGTTTTAAGAGGATTGAAAATATGCCAGGATAAAGAAGATTATTTTTCTAACTTTCACTTTAAAAAATCCTAAACATTTTGGGGAGGTGGGGGGGGGAGGGAATCCTGCTGGTCTTCTAATGTAGAAAACATCACCTTTGTTTTGCTGTGCCATAAAGGATTTGAAATAAAGGATCCTTACATTGGTTAAATTCGATCAGAATCCTTCCTGGGTTGTTTAGAAAAGTTGAAGAAAAGAGCCCCAGAGTTTTCTGAGTGATGTTGAACTGGTAGAGATTGAAGAAGATTCAAAACAAGGCATCTGAAAGTTACTGTTTTTTCAGTGCCCCCAAAACTTAAATTCCAAGTGTTCTGGTTCATTTGATGTATTGTTGTGGGAAGTTTTTTCTGTCTTCAGAGACAAAAGAGAACACTGCAGTGTTGTGCTCTCTCTGGCCACTAATTTAAAATTATTATAACTTAAACCATTATTTTAACCATTATTATTCAAACCATGTATTTTCACACTTGATGCATTTATACTGAAGCATATAAAAATGAAAGAAAAATGTGTGCAGTAGCAGTTGCTAGAAAAATGTTCATTTTTACTGAAGAACATTGTACCTTTTATATTAATATCTGATTGTCTCTTTAGCCTCCTTTAGTCTCCTTTACTATGAAATTTAGGCAGGCTCTGAGTATCATACATCCTATCATACAAAGGGTGTACATTTTTATAACTTCTTAATCAGATGAAAAGAAGATAGTATTGCATTTTTCCTGAACAAAATCTAAATATTCTTTAGTACTTTAAAATTAAATTTTATTACAGTGTTGCTATTGAAACTTTTCATCTTTATGAAGTGTGTATTTTATCACCACCTGTGAAAGATAAACCTGTAGAATATAAAGAAATCAGATTTTTTTGAGTAAAGGAGAATTAAGTAGTCATTGAGTCTTCTATTAAGAAATTACCGCAAAACACAGTTTTACAAATTTCTCAGACTGCATAACAATGTCTCAAAACTTAATTTGCATCACTTGATTCTTTTTTTGTTGAAAACTGGGTCAGTAGGGCCTGAGAAACTATTTTTTCAGATCTAAACCAATGAATTCTTCTTTATAAATTGGTGCTCTTAACATGATAGTAGTTCTGAATTCATCATAAAAACCTTTTTACACAGTGCCTCTTAGAACAGATCTCCAGAAGAAGGCTTACAATGAGTGGCAGAGAAGTCTTTGTTATCTGATGTAATTCTTTGCAAAGGAGGATTGGGAATGGAGTGCCTGTTTAAAAATGTCTAGCTCAGGCTGAGAAGAAGAAAGGGTCAAGTTT